AGAGTTGGAAAGAGTTTTTCATTCACTTAAGTGATGATATGTGATCTGAGGCTTGAAAGACGAGTAAAAGGTGAAGCTGACAGGCAGAGCTGTTAGCAAGGGCTTCCAGGAAGTGGGGACAGTGTGTTCAAAAGCTCTAGGGCACAGGAGACCGCAGCGCTGGTTGCTGGGAGGCAGTGAGGGTCTAGAATATGGGTTGTAGGGAGGGGTGACATTAACTATCTGAGAAGCTGTGAGCATCAGGCTGGAAAGGGAAGGTGGCCATGACTGGTCAGCTCTCCATATGTGGTGCTGTTTCCCAACCAGAGAGACAAAAGCCGACCTCCCTGGGGGGCTGCTGTTGAATACTGACCACAGGATGCCCACTCTCCCCCATGAGCTATTTCCAGATGCCGCATGGGCTCAGTTCCCCTTTTCACCTCCTGGATGGGACCTCAGGGTCTGGACCCTGACGTCCCAATCTTGGACCCTAAAGTTGGATCTTCTAAGATCCTAGGTCTAGTTTGATATTTTTGTTTTGAGATCCAGTATCTAGTTGTTTCATCATGTGTGTAAGCGAGACCGTGAGTGATCTATTCGAGCATCTTTTTCCTAGAGCCCCAAGAAATAGTAGCCCACTGAGAGAACTTAACACTAAAGAAACTCATCTGCAAGCATAATTCATGGTATTACTCAGTCTCACATAGATCAAACTCATATTCATAGAAAAGAAAATCATGGTACTGACATCAGAAGTTTGTAGAGGCTCATGGAATTATAGTAAAGAAAGAAACCATTACTTTTACAGTAGTTATTTTAAAAATCATAATTTTATGGCTAAGTGTGCCATTGGGGGCTGGCTACATTATAGGCAGGCAAACAGTACACAGTCTTAGTCAAGAAAATACTCAGGAAAAAAAAAGGAGGCAGGCTGTGGAAAGGGAGACATTGAATTCGAAGCCAGAAAACCTGGCTCACGCTCGTCTGTCATATATTGGCTCTGTGAGCTTGGAGGAGTCACTTAACCTCTCTGAATCTTGTTTTCCTCTCCCGTGAAACGGGGAAAGTAATAATACCTCTATGGTGGGCTTGTTTTAGCATCAGGAGGCAAAATATATGTCAAGGTGCTCTATAACCTGAAGCTATTTTGCTAATTATAATAATTATTCACTGAAAAAATAATCCATGTTAAACATTTACTATCAAAGAAAAAATTTAAACAAAAGTTTACTAAAATCACTGCAATCAGATTTTGCAATGAGTCACAAATCAAGGAACTTCGTATGTATGATGTTTGAATAATAATTGTGTTTTATGTCCTTCCTAAGTATAAATCCTTTACTTACACTAAACTTCAGTAATGACTGTTGCCTGGATAATTAGACCTTAGAAACTTTTCTCCAAAAAGAGTTCATGGTCATAGAGTAAACTTCATGCTTCATCCCACCTTCAAGAGACTGATTCAAACCTCTGAGGAATCCCACAATAACTTTTAGCACAATGCTTTCCAGACTTATTGGAGCACAGAGCTCTGTTTCCAAGTATCAGCTTTAGTTCAAAGGAATATATTTGGGGGATTTTTTATAAAGATTTTTCTTGAAATAGAAGCATCCACAACAAAACTAATAATCATTCCTAGGAACAGGGTGTTAATATAACTTTAGAGTGGAGAGCTTCGATCAGTTCAGCTTTGTGAAAATGATGGTAAATTCTAACCATTCCATTAGTTTTTTTTTCTCATTGGCAAACAATTTATTTTCCTCTATCACTATTTGAGTTTGTAGTACTGTCGGAAAAGAAGTAAGGAAAACAACGTATTCAGAAAAGTTCTCCATTTTTCAGATGGTGAACCTGAGTCACTAAGAACTTAAGCGCACTGGGCAAGGCCACACAGCTGGTAAATGGTGGCTCTGAGGTTAGGACTCGGGTTTGTCTGCTCCAGAATCAGCAAATGGTCTGATGGTAAATCAAAATGCGTTTCACAGTGCGGTTCTGCTGGGACATTCATGCTGCTGGTCAGGGCTGCTTCACATGCTCTCAGACATTGGCTCAAAACAAACCCTTGAGGATCGTCGGGTAGATTCAGCGTGGTCATTAAGGGCTCACGTTTTTGATTGCAGCACAGAAGACAATGGCTTGTCAGTCGTCTCATAGTCCCCTGACATGACTCGGAGCTCCTCTCAAACTCTACTGATGTACAATAGTAAAAAAGATGTCAAATTTGAATTTTGCTTAACACTTCATTGCTTGATAGATGAATGCAACTCAGTTTACTTCATTCCACACTGGGTTAACATTAATAGCACATATATAGATAAATAAGCCATAGTTCTCTCGTAAATTAGACCATGAACTGCTGTTTTTGATCTTTTCTGTCCTAGCTAAGATACAGATACTAAGAACTGACCAAGTAAGCAGTTCATTAAAAAGTTGAGCAGCCGCACAGGGCTGCATTCATCTCATCTTTATTTGTCTTTTCTCTGGAATAGCTTTTTGGTTTAGAATCCTGGATTTTTGCTTTTACTGAATCTCAGTTTAGGTACAGAGAAATATATATCTGTCCTGATCTCTCACTAATCCTCTCCCAATCCTATCAAGTTCGACATTTTAGGAGCTTTATATAGATGCTCATATTTATTAAGTTAGAATCAATGGAGAAGTGTGAGAGTGTAATGCTAATCTAGTTTCAACAAGTTTAGAGGGACTTCACGATTATTCCAATATATTCTAACTTCATAACATGGAAACTTCTTACAACAAACTAAAGAGGGATACCATATGTGACTGGGCAGGAGATAATCAGCTTTCATAAAAAATATTTCTTGTGTGCTCTGTTTACTCTTACAGTGGAGGTACTTATCTTATCACCCTTCTATTGAATTTGCATCATTGGATGGCTTTAGCGCAACTTGATGTGCATGCCTGTGTGCTAATGGAGAGGTTTTTTCTAAATACTCCTGACTGTTACACATTTGCATTATCCAGATGGAGTTTTGCTGTTGTTGTCGTCCTGTTTCTTAAAGTGCTGAGGTGCTGTTAATATACTAGTTAATGGGAACTGTAAAATGAGATGGTTTGAGATATTCTTGGGCTGAATAAACAGTGAGACTTAGCATTCTGAATAGACTTCAGTTGGATGTGTATGCGAAAACTTAGAAAGGTATCTGTGTTGCCTGATGAGTTTGTTAAACTTTGGGGATCAGGTCTCCATTGGACATTTTTTTTTCCTTAAAGAATGACAAATGAATAGCAAATAAACAAGGGTGTGTGTTTTTTTTAAAAAAACAATGCCCTACCTGAGTATTTTTAAATTAATGCTTAATTAATTAAATAGATGTAATGCTTATGTACACATGTGTGTAATATGCTTTCTTAGAATGATATTTGATTTAAATATAATACATATTATATTTAATACATATTACATATTAAACTGTTTGAGGACAGCTGTCTTGAAATGGGAAAACCAAATCAATACTTGCAAGCATTTGTAGTCAACTGTCATCAAACAGGTGGTGAACAACTTAAAATCCCACATTTTTTTAGTGGACTCTTTACAAGTAGAGGCTGTCAGCAAACACAATGTCTGTCATGATTTGGGCGATTCTTTCTGCAAATTTATTTTCTAGCTCAGTGTTTCCAGTGGCTTTTGCTGCTTGACACACTGGTGGAAGTAGTTCTCCCAGGCGCCTCCCATTTGTTACGTGGGCTTTCTTTGAAACAAGAATTTTGGTAACATCAGAAAATAGGTTTAATATTAGCAGTCTTCCTTAAAATGGTAAGGAGTGCCTCTAATAAGCAAAACTGAAATTATAGTCCTATTTATTATATCCTAATTTCTTCTTCGTGTATACTGGGAATTACGCTTACAATACAATCCCAGGAAAAGATGGTACCACAAAAGCCTCCTACCTGTGGTTAAGTACTAGCGAGCTGTCTTCTGCTCTGCTCTTGCATAAAGTGCTTTTGACTGTAAATGAAAGGTTTTTTTTTTGTTTGTACCCCTTCCCCCCAATTTTTTTTCCTTTATGTCAAGTTCAGGTTTAACTTGAACCCAAACCTGGAGGTAGTTTAGAGCCACCACCTGAAAAAAAGATTCTTTTACAGACTTCAAAATGAGGATCAACATGTGTTTCCGCATATAAAACAGATCCAATAAGTGCAACCTTGACTAATGAAGAAACTTAATCGTCCTAAAAAAAAGGAAAAAAAAAAAGAACCCCTCAAACCCACAAAAAAGCCCGACTCACACCGAGGTCTTCTCTGTTATCATGGACCCAGGAGAGCAGGAGCAGGGGCTGGCAGGTCCCAGCTCCACTCTTTGGGGGCAGCTGGGCAACTCAGCCCCACCTGGGAAGATGCTTTTGTTTACATCTCAGGTTGCCGCCTGACGATTGGTGCCTGGGCTGGAAGGGAGGGTCCACAGGAAACGCGACACTGGGGATGCTGCCCCCTATCACATGATGGAAATTTCCACTTTGTAGAAAGGCGAAAAGAAAGAAGGGTCTCTCAATCCACCCTTTTCCCCTGGACCCCAATCGGGAGAGGGAAGAAAAAGGCGGGTGAGTGAAGCTGTTGATATTTTTCCATTAGACTTGAGAGACTTGTCATTGTGCAGACTTGTGGCTGGATCCCAGCTGGGATGAGTGTGGGTGTGCGCATGGGGACACGCACACGTGTGCAGCCCGGTCTCTCAGCCATCTGGGACTTAGGTCACGCGTTGTGACTCCTCATATCTTGTTGATTGTCCCAAATCCGTTATCATTTGCCAAAGGATCCCACTTTGGGTGGGTTATTACAGGCTACAGGATTGACTAGAAATGAAGTAAACCAGGGCACACGGAGGGAAAGGGCACCGGCTGGGAGCGTTCCTGTGAGTCCCTTTGCCAGGACAGGTGGCTGTGCCAAGGCTGCCTATTCCTGGGGAGCGGGCAGGGGGTGGCTGCCGCGTGGGGCGCCCCGCCCCCGCCCCCGGGCCCGGGATTCCCTGGGCGCTTGAATTTCGAGATGCGTGTACTGAGTCAGCCTCGCACCGCTGTGGCCGCGCCGCCTGCCTGGCGGAGGAGGCCTGAGCCCGCTGTGGGGGCTGGCTCTGCGGCCGCTCCGGATCGTGCTGGCAAGGTGTCACCCGAATCTCCGGACCCGTGCCCGCGTCCCCAGGGCGGGAACACTGGCCGCAAGACCCAAAATAGACTCATCGTCTCTGACAGCCGGACCGCCAGGAGGCCAGCACGATTCCCTCGGGTGGGGGGGCTCCGGCCCGGGAGGAAGAACGCGTGAGCAGAGCTGGGTCCGGGGGCCTGGGCTGTGGGCGGGGAGCGGGTTCCAAGACCGAGCCCGCGGTTCCGAGGGCGGCGTCCCGCGCCGTCGGACTGAGACGCCTGGGGAGCGTTGGAAAGACGGCACCCGCGGGCTTTGGGGAGAGAAGAGGAGAGCCGAGGACTGGAGAGAGGACGTCGGGGAAGCGAGAAAAGTCCAGGGAGGAGGCGAGAATGAGAAAGATAAGGGTCCAGATCCCGAGAGTGGTAGGAGTAGGAGGGAAAATTGGGAAATGAGGAGAGGATGAAAGCAAGGAAGAGAGGGTGGGAAAAGGAGCGGGGACGCAGGGACCACCCTCACCCCCACCTTCCCGCTCCGAGAGATGAGCTGGGAGCAACTCCGGGTCTGAGAGAGGAGAGAGGCGTGCGCGGGGAGCAGCCTTGGCGCTGCGGGGGCCCACAGAGAGGGGCTCTTAGCACAGGGGGGCGGGCGCCCTGTGGGGGGCGCGGACTGCGGGTGGGGGC